TTTTTTTTTTTTTTTTTTTTTTTTTTTTTTAGCTTTTATAATTTGCACTTCTTCAAAAATTCTTCAATTTTTTTTGGTTCTAAAATTGAAAAAACTTGAATTTTTTTTTTTTTTGTCTTTTAATAAAACTTCAATTAGAGGTGAAGATTTATTTTGTGAAAAAAAGAAATACAGTAACAGATTACACTTCTAAAGTATCAAAGCTGAATTCTTTTTACCTCACGGTTGCTTCGTGAAAACTTAATTTAGAAAATGCAACGCCAACAACATTGAGCTTAATTTGCCGAGATCTCATTGTAATATCATTGTAATCGCTCAGTGTGCTGTCGTCATTCTTTTTTCTCTTCTTTTCTTTTCTTTTTGGGCAGACAAAAAAAGACGTGGAGAGGCATAGGGGAAAAGAACAGCAACTTTATGTGCTTTTAACAAATTTACTGGCAATTAACGCCTTTGGGACTCCTATTTGAAGCAACAGCTCTCGTTCTTGTTCAGTCGACTATAACTGTTTTTTTTTTTTTATTCTTCAGAAACCCGATCAATCATCAATTTGGATTCAACAGTCATTGTTTTATTGATATTACTATTATTGTTACAATTATTTCATATTAACAAAGGTACTATTATTCCGGTCGTTATTAATACATCTGCCAATACTGTTATTGCTGTCAATGTTACTCTTGACATTTCTTTTTCCTCTTCTTCTTCTTAATATTATTATTATTACTATTATTACTTTTATTTTTGCTTTTGTATTTTCTTTTATGACAATGAATTAGAAAACAATTTGAGCTTTTTTTACCCAACAAATTTTTAGTTTTTGTTTAAAGCTGTTTAAAACATATCAAATCAGCTTCACAGGTGATAATTTTGAGACTAATAAAGAAAAAAAAAAAAGAGGACACAGAAAGGATAATCTAAAATTTAGAACATTTTCTTTGCAGTGTTTTATCTATTGGTTTAATACTTTTTTTGTTTATAGACAGTGATGCTGTTTTTTATGTCTGAAATCATATGAGATTATAAACTGTGACCATCAAACAACAAATAATTTAGTGATTTACCAATGACAGCCAATTAAAGCTAAGTCTCTGAAATAAATAAAGCTCTGCAACGCTGATGTATGCAAATTTTTGAAGCTCCAATACTTTTTAACAGCGTTTGTTGTGTACGTTATTTATTAATTAGATGCCTTTTTAAATGCAGTGTTGTGTATTTGAGGTTCATTTGTTTGTTGTCTATAGTATTCAGTTATTTGTCATCTAACTTTTCAAAATAAGTACAGTATCAGTGTTTAACCTACGACATTATTATCGGTAGTTTTAAAGTTGCAATTTTGAATGAATGTTTCTCAGTTGTCAAAGATAAATTTTGCGACGTGATAAAATACTTTTTCTGTCTTTTTATTTAGCGGTCAAGATCTCGAGTGATTTTTTTAGAAATATAATATTTAAAAAGTGACATATTTCTGATTCTCTTGTTTTTGTTGCTGTTGAAAATTCGCTTTTAAGAACAAGGAGAAGAAATTTAAAATTGCCACCTTTCTAAAACAACCTAACAGTACTATACAACACTTGTTTTTTAGTTTCTCCGCTAGTCAACGACAATAAACTGAGCTGAAAGCGTATGTTTGAGAATCAATAGTAACGTCAAAATATAGGCTGGTCGAACGATCAAAATAAGTAGATATTGTTTAAGTCAGGTTGTGAATAGACAGTTTGCAAGCTAGGTAATAAGCAGATAAACATGGACGAGGAGGAACAGTCAGGAATAAAGGTTGAATACTGTTTTTGTTTTTACTATAAATGTGATGCTGTTTGTATAAAATGTTATAAACAGTTAGCAGTTTTAAAAATTTACCTTTATAAAAATAACGATTTACAGATGGTATTCTTAATTTTATTGTTTTCAACTGTTATAACTGCTGGAAGATCAGAGAAGACAAAATGGTTATCTCCTTTCAATGATTTTGACCGAAAAAGTTTATGTACAGTTGAAAATCGTAATTGGATAATGACTCGTCTAACCAACAAAACAAGACGAACTCATAAGGTAGTTTTGCTTTCATTTGATTCTTAGCGCAGTTTGCTGTTATCCACTAAATTTTATAAAATTTCAGGTGTCTGATTTCTATTTTTCGTAATTTTATTATTACAATGTTTAGAAACAAAACTTCACGCTAGAAAAAGTTCAATATTTATACAGATCGATAATTTACCTAACTAATTTATTTGAAGTATAGGCTCGTGTAAAACGTGTTAAATGAAATCCATGATTATTTAGGAATTTGTTGCTCG